TCTTAAAAAGTCTTGAATTTAACTTGCCTTACGCTGTAGGAACCCTGAGAACAGACTAACAGAGTAAACCACCTGGTAAAATCTTGGTCATTAAACTAAGATTATTTTACAATCTTGCTATAATTACTTCTCCGATCGGGTCGCTCTGTCAGCAAAATGCATATTTTACAGTCTCTATTCTCCAGTTAATGATAAATCGATTACTAAATTAGTTGACTATTATTTAATTTATCGATTAATCATGATTAACCCCATTAATAGTTTTAGCCCTAATAACTTCCTTTCATTCTTCTGTAACTTAATGGATTTTGAAATTTGTTTTAACCTTAAAAATTGTAAAGATGAATGGCTTTAAAATGATGGGAAGAAGTAGTAATTGTGAACCTTCTCCCTGAGTTAGATACACAGGTTTAACAAAACAAACAAGCCTGTAAGTTTGCATGTTTGTTGTTGCTTATAGATAAGGATACTTTCTTTTTTTTTTTGCTTAAAGCTGTCAGTCTGGTTTGCTTGCTGTATCTTGATGGTCTCCTTTTCTACCTTTCTACCTGGCAGACATCCTACCCAAACAGCTCAGCTCGCTGAAGCTGAGGCCTCTCCTTGACAGATTAATCAGCGCTCTCTCTGTCTCTGTTTTTTTTCTCCAGGCGGCAGAATCTGGCATTGTGAAGATTAAAACCATTGCAGCCAGAAATACAGATATCCTGGCAGGTAAGTGGAAAATGGGTATGGACCCCTTGCTTTTCTAATAATTCAGCACAAATTTAAGGTAAGCTGCACAGAATTGCAGCCTGAGGAGCACTACTGAATAACTGAATAAAAAGAGGGTTAATTTGAAGTAAGTAATTCAACAACTTTGAGTAGAGTTATGTCAGCATCTGCAAATGAAACCCATCTGAAAAAAGTGAAAGCCTTTGTTTTATAGACTTATTCATTCATTTTTTCTTTGCACACCTCAATACAATGTGCATCATCTTGCCTGATGGTGCTCAACTTGATTCATT